GGTCCCCGGCGCCTACCCCCGGCTCCGGCCCCCGGCCCAGGCCCGACATCGGAAGGAAGCGTTTACGACCACTTTCTGTACAAATAAGGCAACAATGTAGCCGTTTCCGCTCTCTTTAATTTTTTGTTTGTTTGTTTGTTTTAATAGATCGACAGATACTAGCGGTATTTTTAGTCGTATTAGTAATATTTGGGCCGGGGTTTCTGCCTCTTGGGTGATACTGACAGAACCGTAATTCAGCAGTGTAGCTCCGTGCTCTTTCTTCCAGGATAAGGAATTATGAGAGCGTCATCGCAGCGATGTCGTGATGCCAACAAACTTCTCCAGGTAAAGAAGACTTTGGACCTGTGAAGCACACCGGGCACTGACCTGCTTGGAACGTAATTCTTGGCGGGTAAACAACAAACAAAATGCTGGCAATGCTTTAAAAACAAATGGATTTGTAAAGATTATATTTTTTCCAGAATGTCTTAATCTGTGAAGATCGTATTAGTTCATAATAAAACTAAGATTCAGGCTAGGCCTGGTCTGTCACCCTGTATCAAAGATGTGGGACAAGGGCTGAGGAGAAGTGGGTGCTTCACCTTTGTTTTCCCTCTCTCCTTGGGGCTGTAGCTGTCTATACCATAGCTAAGATGTCTAGAGCAGACCGTTAGGTGGGGAGATGTCTGAGACCTCTGGTTCACCTATGCCTTCAGCCTCTGGCATTTCGAAACTATTCAGGCTTCAGGCGGCTTCTTGTACCTGCCGGTGATCAGCAGCAAGAGGCAGTGCCCATGCTACCATCTGGGCTTGTGGTTAGGAGGGGAGAGAGGGAATCGCTCAGGTCTCTCTCCAGGTGAGGATGGGGGGTGAACCGTCCTGTGATTCTGTGACGGATGCTGGCTCTGTTCTCTTATTCAGGATCTATCGCAATGACTGTTGGCTAAAAATGCTAGTATCTTCCTAAGCAAAAGCAGAGACAGGAGAGCAAAAGCCCATGACTACCCTAAATACCTTCTTATTAGACCACATGGAGGCAAAATTTGAATGCCTTTAAATATTGGGTAAGCTGAAACACTGAGGGGAAGCACATTCTAAGCAATGGACACACCGTAAGAGTTAAGTTGCGTGGGCTGGGGTATTTACTGCCCATGCTTCAGGTTGGGAGAGAATCTGGTGGCAAAGGCAGAACTCCCTGGGCAGGGATCTCCTGGGAGAGGACAGGTGTGGGATTTGAGGCACTGCGGCAAGATGTCCTCTTCTAACTGTGGCTCTGCTAGCTCGGGAGGTTACCGCTCCCCTCATCTCGCCACTGCTCTGTTAGAGGCTGCTAAGGGTTAGATGAGATGTTCATGGGCAGGGAAAAAAAAACCCATACTATTTAAAGTTCCTATGTTCTTCCCTGAAATGAAGTAGGAAGCCAGGCCAGTAGATCTGAGTAGGCTTGACGGGCAATGAGCAGCAGCTGGTGGCGGTGACCTCTTCAGCAGTGCAAGTACAGCCAGAAGAAGACATATAACTGTACCTTAAATGGTAAATAGCCTGCAGAACGCTTCTTGTGCATTTTTGTGACTAAACAACGGCTGCGTAGCCAACTTCAGGTATGCTCTGTCCATGCCATGAAAGTACATTAGAAGGCAGAATTAGAGAAGCCCCATTTCAGATGCTACACAACCACCTTGTGTTATTCATTGGGAGAGAGGCAGCACGGCCTTCAGCCTCACCACAGGAGGCAGGCAGTGATGGGCTTCCAAGCCTTCAGTCTTCCTCTATGGCTTCAGCAAAGCATGTCCTCATGTCTCAGTTTCTCAGTCTGTGAAAGGGGAGCAGTTTTTAATCACCAAGTAAGGCTGCTGCAAGGTTAAATTAATTACTGCAGGTAAAGAGGGTTACGTCCCCTGAATGCAGATGTTAAAACAAAAGCAAAGATTTATTACTAAAGGAACATGATGAGTCCATTTGAACTTTGTTCGGGAGACCGCAGTATTTATCGATTAGTAGCTTTTGGCAGGGGGAGAAATTGCGCAGATGACCTCAGGGAAGTAAACTACAGGAAGGTGTGCGTGAAGGCATTCATGCTCTTGCTAACATTATTGTAAATCTTGATCCTTTAATAAAGCTGTGACCTTGGAGTTGACAACTACTACGCTGTGGAGCAATATATAGCATGGCCCCAGCCTTGTAAATCTTACGTAGTTTTTGCCGTTGACATAGACAACATGTAAAGAGAAATCAGGCAGCTAAAGTTTATGAAACACATTTATTTGAAGGAAAGCATTTTAAATCAGACTTTTTGGATTAAATGAAACCCATGACCCTGCCAACTTTTTATTCCTCATGATAAAACGTGTTTGTGAAATGAAATCTCAACAGTGAAAACTTGTAGAACTGCTCATAAAATTTTGCTGTTTGCAGGGGGGAACTGCTACTGATGAGGTAGATTTTAGATCACCTTTGCACAGCTGTTGGACTACTTTGAACAACTACTTCTTGTACAAATATTATTTTGGTTGCTTTCTTGACGATGTTGCTGCCGCTGCAAAAACAGCACATCTCCTTGCCCGTATGAGAAGGGCAGCGGTTTGTTCTGTCAGAGCAGTCAAAGATGGATGTGAGAGGAAGCTGTGTAGCTGCAGGGGGATCAGAAGGTGCCACCTGCAAGAGGAAGGACATCCTTTGCTCTTACCAGGTATATCTGTATCACCACTGACAAAGGACGCCTGCAGCCATAGACAAAACTAAGGACAACACTCCTACAGTGGTAGCTTATTTCATACATATAGAAAGTTCCCTATATATTTTTTACATGTGCAGGAAACCACAACTTTTCAGAAGTCAAATAACTTTGACTATAACAATATATATAACAAATAACAATGTCCAATAACTTTTTCACTATAAATTTGGCTACTTTGCTCTGGCAGAACAGATTTTTTTTTTTTTTTTCTCTAGTTACTCAAATGTTCCCACAAATTCCACACTTTGGAGCAGCACTGTCCATATTTCTGACTGAGGAATTTTCATTCCCAAGGACAGTTCTCGAAGAAAAAGGAAGGCAGCTTTCCCAGGCACGTGAAACATTGACTCTTTGTCTTCCCAAAAAGGAGTCACACTGTGATTTCAAAAAAAACCTAGTAAAGACCTAAAAGCTATTGGGAGTTTCCTTGTTAACATGTTACCATGTTACTAAAGCTACTTTCATCGCTGTACATGCTTCTAGGAATGAACGTGACTTTTAGTTTCTCACAGATCAATTGGATCTTTGAAAGATACTATATTCTACTGTACATGTAAAAAACCTACAAATTTTTAAACCTACGTAGTAAGAATGCAGGTTAATTAAAAGACACTGTCAATCTCTTGAACAGGTTTCTATTGTTTTATTATAAACAAAATACTTCTTGCTCACCTTTCAAGATGGCTTTCACTTGCCAACTTCGCTAATTTTGAGTCTGTTGTTGCACTGTAAATGGAAACTTACGTGCAGTCCAATGAGGAAAGTAACACTGTCCGTGACAGCAGGTAGCATCCCTGATACCATTTTGAGGGGGTGGTTGTTCCAATTTGTTTGGTCCTGTAGCATCTGAAAAGCTGTTGTTTGTCGTCTACCTCTGGCATTGCATTGTCATCATTGATGTGCAAAAGACTGGCCTGCTCCAGGGAACGCAGATACAAACAAATAGGAGAGGCTGCTGTCAAAGCCAGGTGTCTGAATACTGGATGGTCAGCGAATTCAGGAGTATGGTATTTTAGCTAGAGAAACTGACAGTATTTTCTTTTATCCTTAAAAAAAAAAAAAAATCACCACATTTTTTAAATGAAACTGAAATTTAATTAAAAAAAAATAATTTAAGGGCAGAAAAATGCCAATGCTTAAGAAAAAAAACCCCACAACATTTTTAGGTCCACGCAGGTTACTAATACTTCATTAATTGCAAAAGTCTAAATTTTAATGACCATGTCTCTGTACAGAACATGTTCTTCCCCTCTTTTTCAGTAGTTCTTACGCACTATTTGGATGACTCACATGCACATATTCTAAGAATGACCCATCCAGAACTCTTTCTACAAGAACTTCTCCAACAGTGTTTATGTCCTGAAAGAAAAAAAGGATATTTTATTGACTGTCAAGATAGTAATTAATGTGTTAATAGATTTAATTTTGACTGAGCTACCAGTTAACAAAATACTGGTTGTGGTGGGTAAACATCCACATTTAAAGTTTAATACCTAATTTTCTACTCCTTAGTGGTAAAGACTGCAACATACAGCAAGAGAAATCATTATGAAAGTTGAAATAAATAAGAATGTCAAATGCAGAAACAGATGAACTCAGTGATTATGCCAAACCCAACAATGCTCATGCTATTTATTAAAGAGTCCAAGCTGGTGATGCATGTTGTATTACTGTGTATAGAAGTAAATACTCAAGTCTTAGCTATATTTTATGAAGCTATGTATGTATGAGCTATCATTAAAATGCTATCATCCATAGGTCTGTGTCCACTATAGGTTCAAATTAGTAAGATAGTTCTTCACCCCTGCCCTCCATTTGGACATAATTTGCTTTAGTGCTTTTGCCCCATTAAAAAAAATGCTTTATATCTTTCTTTGGGATTTTTTCTGGATGAGTATTTAACATAAATATGGGAAAGCATTAACTGATACTCTTGAGAAATTCTAACAGCATGATAATGCTTGTGCTGTATTTTCTATTTTACAGCCCACTTAGATAGCAAACAGCTGCAGCACCTTTCAGAAGTACAACTGTGTCATCTGAGGTTCTTACAGAGTAAAAAGAGGTTGTTGAAACAACTTTCATTTGAAGTCTGTAGGCTTCTGTTTGAGGATCTCGAAGTAATTTATAAACAATATTCAGATGCATAATACCTGTTAAGAAGCGAGGTAGTGGAGTGCCTTTCCCTTGTCCCACCATTAGACAGCATCGGAACTGAGGACAGAATCCGTAAGCTGGCACCACTGACTACCACACTATGCTGTTTCTGTATTCATCTGCCATGCTTCGTGACTTTGTGGTGCAGTTTCTTGCTCAGTTCTTTTCATGACTTCTTGATTGTAAAAGGTGTGGAAGAAGATACACATAAAGAAATCAAGCCTAGTAGTTTGCAAATACCGTTACTCACTATGTAGTCTTCATAGAATCATAGGTTGGAAAAGACCTCTAAGATCATCAAGTCCAACCATCAGCCCAACACCACCCTGCCTACTAAACATGCCTACACAGTGGAGTGTATGTCTGAGTTGAAGATGCCTTACAAAATTTCTGCTGAAATAGCTTGTATCTTTCCCAGATGTTAAGCAACAAATTGGACAACACTATAAATAAATGGAAGGAAGTACTCAATTTTCATCTTGGAGGTCTTACAGAAGAAAAATTACCAGTGTTTAAAAAAGTAGAAATCTGAAGTAAGTGGATCTGCTATGGCTAAACAGCATTCTTTGAGCAAGATGAACACTGCTAGGCACAGTGCACTGTCAGATCAGCTGTCAATTACACTGATCCGTGCTATGCAATTCGTGTCTGCAGACATCCCAAGGACTGACAGCCTATATAGATTTGATGGTTAATATATTCCCTCCAGTCATGCAAAAGCGTTTGTTTTATCCAGTACAAAATTTGTTTATCATCCAAACAACTCATGTATCCATTTATTTCTCATTCAAATAATAAACTGTAACATATAGTGAAATAGTAAATAAAAATAACAAATAATCCATATGTTTATCATCCAAGCCACTGTTGGGTGATGAAGTGCTACAAGCAACATACAGGATTTCTCTGGTCATCAATAACAAATTAGTTCATCTGTGTGCTTACAACAGAACTACCTAAAACACTTAATCAAAAGAAAAGCTGCATTACTTCCTGTGGGTTCTCTGTACTATAAAAGTTGATGTTGCTGCAACATTTATTTCTTCAAGGAGTATTATGAAAACACTATGTGTATGCTAAAAAAACAATTGTCATGGAATACACCATGTGTGAATATAATATGTTTAGACTAAAAACAGCTTTATGACATGTTGTGGTAATGAACATTATGACACATGCCAAAAATCTTACGCCTTTCTTAGAATTAAGACTCCAATGTGTTTATTCTAAGTTTGAAACAAAAAGGTTGAAACAGTTATGCTGAATCACTTTCTCAGTTACTCCTGAAGTCCTGAAATAGTTACTCCAAAGTATTTCAGAATTAAAGGGAAGGGTCACCGTGTCAGCAGCAAACAACGCAGTTGCACCTCTCCCCATGTTCCCTCTCTTTGCTTTGTATTAACGATGTGGTGCCTACAGTTTATAAACCAATTAAAGCAGTT